CTTGCGGGGTCAAACACAGTTGCTTTGAGGAATTAATGGATTGCGAATTTTACAACTGGAGTACTCCTATGAGGTATCGCGCATTATCAAGAGGGATCAGATACCTCATAAACACATACGGTGGAATGCGGAAGACTAGGGTTTACAACACATGGCCGGAAAGACGTTGGTTTATCAAGGATTGAAGATGGCCACCAATTAGCCGATGTCAATGATATGATGTTAAGCGTTTGCATTCTCTTTAGTTAAAACTAAAAAAGGCTGATGAGTAAAAGTAGTCATTTTTTGGTTTTTTTTTTCCATTTCCCTTTACCAAGTCATTTTCTGTTGTTTTCCAAGTTTCATCCTTAATAATAATCCGTTTCGCAGTTTTAACATCATCGTACCACATGTCTTGTTTTTAATTGAATAGACATATTCCGTATATTCAAAAATTATTCTACAAAATAAATTTTGACAATAAAAATAACCAAAATAAAAACGGACTATTAGTCAAACGCTTCGAAATAAATATGCGTCAATAAAAGTTATATGTGTATAATTAATTTTTGGGACAAAATAAGTCTTCTATGCCAGAATTGCCTCATGTATATAATTATTACATGACCCTCTTTCTAATATATATATATATATATATATATATATATATATATATAACTAAATAATGATTTCTTAAATAAGAAAATGATTCTTTTAAATCCCAAATCCTTTAACTACGTTTATTAAAAAAAATTAAAATATTACAATAAAAAATAAATCAAATAATGGATTCTTCAATGGACGCGTCTAATATCTATCGTTAACATTGAATATTACACATCAGTCTTATTGTGTCTGTTGAATACTTGCATTTAATTGTTCTCCCTTTCGATTTTTTATTATTAACAACAAAGTGTAGTTCTTTCAATTTATTTTCCGTTTGTTTTTTAAATAAAAAGTAATTATACATTTACAAATTACTGTGATGAAGGATAATATGAAAAGTTTTTGTTAGAAAATAAAATTAAATTAAAAAAAATGTCATATGAAAAGTTTGGTGTGTATTTAATAGTGGTATTTGTAGTTTTTTTTTTAAAACAGTAATAATTAAAAGGCAATGAAGGGACGTGCACCTTCCCCATAAGGGTAAGGTGAAGCAATTCACAACCTCTATTTAAAGTTGGTTCAACTACTTAACATAATCCTAAAAATAGTAATTGTGCTAAACTAACCTGTAAAATGGCAAACCCAGGTAGCTCTTCATCATCTACTACGAAATCAGATTTGAGGTTGGCTGGTTTGCAGCACACTTTATCTTATTTGCAAGGTCGTTTCATTGAGGCTTGCAATCAAGTACAAGCGACCGAAAAAAGACGTGAAGAGCTTGGAGTCCTGGTTGAAAAAATAAGGGTCGACATATCAAATATGGCGTTGGAAAAGCATAAGGAAACCGATCCACAACAACATCAACATGCATGGCCTGTACCGAATGACAATTTGGTTGATGGTAGAGCTGTTGCGGGGGAAGACGATTTTACAAAATTGTGCCTCTAAGTCAGTACAAGTTTGGTTAACTAAATTAACTTAATTGTGTTTTATTTTAAGTACCTATGTTTTAACTTTTCTATGGTAGCCTTAAGCTGGAAGCACTGTTTGTTACGTTGGTTTTTTTTTTCCAAGAATTCGCAGTGATAATAATAATGTGTTCTGTTTAAATACATTTTTATTTTCCTTTATGTTTCTAAAAATTCAAATATGATCTTCTAAATACATATCAAGATTTCGTATTTAGAATATTGATGTATTCTAACTGTTAAATTAAAACCAACTTTTAAAAAACCTACAACTATGCAAACACACGGATATTATTAATTGTTAAAGCGAATACAATAATGGAAAACAGACTTAGATGTCACAGGAAAAATTGAGAATGTGCTCCATATTTGGTAAAACACACAAATGAATGTAAACCAATCTCATTAATGTGATGCTATAAATAGTGGAACGATTCTAGGATTATAATTTTATAAACAGTGGAACGATTCTAGGATTATAGTTCTAGGATTATAATTCTAGGATTATAATTTTATTATAATTCAAATATGAAAAGGTTATTATTAGGTTTTCTAATAATACATCAATTAGGTCTGAAATTAACCTTAAGTTAATTAATTACTATTTGATGCTTGCCTTTAAATCCTTGTATTTTAATAAATTCAGGAGATATCACGGGTTCTCACTAACAGGTATAATTCCAATACCAAAAAAGACAAAGATTGTGTATAAGAATTAAATATATTTACAATTTATGTCTCTGTTAACACGTGTTATTAGAGTACATATAGTACGGGTGTACATATTCGGGTAAAAAAACCTAAATCCAATTCAATATAAACCGAATTATCAATTCTGATCACACACGAACTTCAAATAAGATCGGATTGATTTAGATATTTCTTTAATTCGGATTTCCGGATTGGATCGAACTTACCCGGATTCTATCCACCCCAAACCGAAAACCTAATTACATAAGTAATCTTGAATAGAATAACGAATTTATAAGTTCTTTCTAATTCAGCAAAAAACATGCAGTACTCCTGCTGTTTATTTAGTAATGTCCACTTTCTATCATTTATTTATAGAAAAATACCGAGATAGTGGACATTCATAAAGAGACGGACAGAGTAAAACATACAATAAATCAATGACTTTACGCTAAACTTTTTATTTCACTCGTGATTTTGAATCCGTTTGTTAATATTAAAAGTTTATAAAATTTGGATTTCTTATAGGATTCAAATAATCGGATATTAATTCTGATTCGAACTGATAGGATCAAAAGATAAATTCGGATCGGATAGGATTTCAAAATTGTAAGCCAAATGATATTTCGTATTTGGAGTAAATCCAAACCGAAAACCGAATGGGTACCCTTAACATAAAGTGTTGAATTCCCTAATAAAACATCAATTGTTATATTTATATTGACATAGGGAATGACAACAAACTAAATTTTTATATAGGTAAACATTATGTTGTTTTAATAATCAATTTTAATAAATCATTACTATCTCTATAAAAGCAACTGACACCTCTATAAACTGATCCTTTTACAAAACGATGCCAATCATAGAACAAAAAGTTTACATAAACTATGGTTATTTTTTGTTGTTAGACCAAATAATAGTAATATAACCTTAGAACCGTAAACCCTAAACTTTAAACCCTAAGCCCTAAACCCTAAACCTTAAACCCTTAACCCTAAACCCTACGCATAATTCCATGAAGCAGTAATGATCATTATGCATTAAAGAGAATCATTTTAATATAAACTAGATCATATTGAAACTTATATAACACATACATTTATTTGACATCAACATCAAAATTCTGTTTGCTAAACAAACCCAACCAACATAATAACTTAGAAATTTCCTTCTCAAAATAATAATGGTCATAATTTCACATCAATATGCAACCGTTACAAAATTTTGTGAATTATTTGATAAAATTAAAAAATTAATTCGACTGTAACAATTACAAAATGATGCAATTAAATAGTAAGAGCTCTTGAAAATGACAAATTAACTCAATATCAATTTTCATCCCAAACGTAAATAAACATCCTTTTAACATTTACGGAGTCATATTCTATATAGTATAATCACCCCCTACTTTTATAGATGTAATAATATGGTACAAATTGATAAGTAATACTATGAAATGTGTGCTGATACCCTCTGGTGTAGTTGGTTATATGTCCTTACTAGTCACAATTGAGCCAAGTTTAATTCCTGACTATACCATGTTTTTGATTTTTTGATTTATTTATAATTTAAAATACTTATTTAAATATGCTGATAATATTCAACACAAATTCACTCTTGATTACCTACAAAACATTTTATTTTCCTATATTCCATAATTAGTACTTTTATATATCAACGTTATGTCACTACACGTAATTTAAACATCTCGGGGTGTAAGTTGTGTAAGTACGAAAATCTGAGAACCCCACCACAATATCAAAATCTTTTTTACACATCTAAGAGCATCATATTCAATTAAAAAGTATTTTCCACGTTAAAATATCATCAAAAGAGTATTAACAGGATCAGAAGTATAAATTCGATTACTGATTCAAAAACAACACATCACTTAGAAAATCGACCCAGAAACAATGGATGGATGTGGGGATTGACATTCGATTGTTAAGTAGTATTCTGAGAATTCATGCCAGCATGTCTAGGAACGCCGCTGCCAAAACTACTGAAGTTCATATGTGTTCCAGGCTGTTGAAATAGTTGTCCACATGGGCCTTGATTTAGCCCACCGTATGGGTTGTACTGGTAAAACCCTCGAGGGTCAACAGAACCATACTGAACTTGAGCACCGTTACAGAGCTCATATTACCATTATGCTGCTGCGGATTTACTCCATACATCTGGTTTGTATCAACAAATATACCATTGTGAAAAGGATCATCATCCTCACCTTCATCACCAGGTTCCTACAACATAGGCATTTTTTGAAAAAATAAGTTGTAAATGATACCAGTAATTGAAAAAAAATACTAAGTACGTGTATTTCAAACCATCTGACTCACAAACAACAAAACAATTGTACCTGGCTGTTCTTCTTCTTCCTTTTCTTACTCCCTTTCTCTGAAGGGTGTTTGTTCCTTGAAGTCTGTGCCCTTCCTGAACCTCTTTTGACTACTGGATCCTTGATGTTCCTTTCTTTGGGGGGTTTTGCATTCCGTTGAAGATTTTGTTGGTTTTGCTCCTTCGGCCTAAGCCTGCGCCGGCCAAACACCCTGTTCATTGAAGGGTCTGACCAGTCTTGTCCACCAATCATGGATCGAATACCAATTACAGCTTGAAGAGTAGCACGAATTTTGTTTGTTGCTTCCTTATACAATTGGAGTGTCTCCTCGCTGTGCATGGCAAACGATGACAAGTATTGATGTCTGACATTTATTTTGTTCTGCATTTTTGCTTAATAGAATCATTAGGGTCGTATTATGACACACTAATGCCTTCATAACTCCGTACTACACTCTTCCTCCAACGATCCAGAATGTATTTCGAAGGAATAAAATCAATGTCTTCTTTCTCAATGGCACTGATAATATGTCTGCAAAGTATTCCACAAAACTCAAATAGTTTGCATGAGCATAAAAATTCACCTTTATCTTTGTCCACAGAAACCTTAAACAGTTTTCGCCGTGATTTCCACACGGGAATAGGAATCTTCTCTTCTGCCTCATACAGAACTTTACTCCCATCATTTCCTGTCCTCAACACATTTGTGTGCCTTAGACCTATCACCTCATCCCTTACCTCCAGAAATTTTTTATTGGTGTACGCCTTGCTAAATACGCACTCCACAAGAATTGTGTTATCACAATGATAAGGTTTACTGTGTGATTGGAAATTCAAATCCTTCTCATCTTCAACTTTCTTTTTATTGCTTTGTTCAAATTGATTCATGAATTGAAACAACCCAGTGTTCAAACTAACGTATCCTTTAATGCATCGGTTTTGTCCTTCACTCCGTTGGGTAGATGACATCCCCGCCCAAAAACTGCCTCTCCAAAAACCTGGGGCCCAATGTTCCCTATTCTCGAACGTGTCATTGATCCAATCGTTATTTTGCAACCGATATTTTGTCACCATATGTTTCCAAGAATCCTCAAATTCTTCTATACACAGCGAATCATGCACGACAACTTTCAAATCAGCTTGTATCTCGGTAAATTTCTCTAATTTTCCTAGGTTCCTGTGAGCATTCTGCAGAATGTGCCATATACAAAGCCGGTGTGGCACATCACGAAATACCTTCTTAACCGCCTTACCGATAGCTTTACACTGGTCGGTGATGATGCCTTTTGGCGGCTTCCCCATACACTGCAGCCATTGATTAAAAACCCACTCAAATGTTTCTGAATTTTCATTAGAAACTAAGGCTGCACCTAAAATGATGGACGACCCATGATGATTGCAGCCAACAAAAGGAGCAAATGGCATTTGGTACCTGAACAAGGTAATAGATTTTTATTCATTAACTTACAAAATAATTCAAAATGATGCTTTCAATTATAAACATATCCTATACATTATTAATCTAATCCTTTTAATAATGTATACACACAAATCCTGAAAGTACGGTTGTCTTAATTTATAAACAAGATTTTTTAATTAATAACCAGATTATGTAAATTATAAAACGACTCTGACAGTACCTGAACAAGGTAATATGTTTTAATTCTATACTTTACAAATTAATTAAACATGATGCTTTTAATTAAAAACATATTCAATAAAATGTTAACTTAATGCTTTCAATAATTTATAAACAAGATCAGATGTTTTAATTAATAACCAGATTCTGTAAATTATAAAACGACTCTTTAAATAGTTTGACTGTTTAATCTTAAAAGTTGTATTAACTAATTTAAATCATACAAAAAACGAAACAAATCTAGTGGAGGCAGCTTTTACTTGTTTGTCACAAATGTGTTATCAAACGAAACAATGTCTCCAAAGTCTTTGTACTGCGCACGCGCCCTTGCATAGCCCAGAAAACATTTAAAAGTTTGCCATCTCCATCTGTTTGGATTGCACTATAAAATTCTGAATTTGCTTCTGCCATTTTTTTAAAATGTTCTTGTACAGTGTCAACATCCCCACCAAATAAGACACGTCGCCGAACAATGTTTACTGCATTCCTCAAATCGCTCTTGTTAAAAGTTACATTCTGTTGTCCTCCTCTTGCAATAACAATAGAGTTGAAGCTTTTGGTCATTGAAATTCCAGCTGAGTCGTTTAAAACCATGCTCTCATGAGCACCATCATCAATGCCCCGATAGTTCACCATAAGCCGGCTATCATTTGGAAATAGGTCATGATTATAGGACAGCTCACAATTCTTAATATACATCCTACCATCAACTGACAAACGTGCCTCAACAAAAACCTTACACCCTAGAGGAGGTCCTGATATCTTCCTTCCAGTTTTCTTTTTCCTCCTATCTTTCGTACCCATCTTGCACAGCAGTCTAATACGAGACATCATGTAGTCTTTAGGCTCCTTATCCCCAACACCTCGATGATGTACTCCTTTTTCACGAAACTCGTCCATTATTATACATGTTCGAACAAAAAATTAAAACCCTTTCTCAAAAGCATACATATGGCAAAACCTTGTAAATTCTTCACCCCTTGCAAAATTCATACCCACTGCTGGAGTACGACTTTGTTGTTCTTCACCGTTTGAACCATTTCGAAAATCATGTCCATTTCTAATGTTGTTAACCACATCAGCTACCTCTTCATTGTTAATGATATTAAACTCATCATCTTCATTCTCAGAATCATGTCCATTTCTATGGTAATTAACCTCCACATCAGCCTCTTCATTGCCAGTGTTATTAATCTCAACATCATCATTCTGAGAATCATGTCCATTAATATTACTATTAGCCTCCACATCTACCTCTTCAGTACCAATGCTATTAACCTCAACATCTTCATTAAGATCGAATGGCAGTTCCCCAATATTATCAGTCACATCGTTTGATTCTACATCTCCGATAGAACTAACCGCGTCGTTTATCACTACATTCAGATCAATGTTCAAACGAGAGGCCCCGTTTTCACTTTCCATTACACTGCCACACTGTCAAACACACAACAGTATTATTTTATATGCTACAAAATATAAAAAGATACTGCAAAATAATATTTTCTTTTTATATTGACTATATGACCCAATGTATAACAAAAAGATCCTATAAATAAATAAATTATTATTAACAACATACACACCTCGATTTTATTTAAAAATTGATTCCATTACAATTATACCCAGCAACACTCCTTCAATTATATTCAACCCTCACAAGCAACAATTATAAAAACAAACAAAACCAAACACAACATAGATATCAATGTATTACTCGAAACGACTTACCCTTTCAATTAAATCTTTACATAAAACTAATTTTTACCCAAAAATCATTTACTCCGAAATCATACAATATAAACCCTAATTTATCATAAAAATCAAATTAGGAATTTTAAGCGAATTAATCCAACAACTAACAAGATTACCTGCAAATACTTGTAATTGATTGACGAAATTGATACGAAAACTTGAGTAATTTCTTCACAATTCGTTCCCTTAATCAAATTGGTTGTGTTCTTCGCCAACGAATTTTGGGGGAAAAGATGAATTGATGGGGCAACAGAAGGGAATTTTCTTTGCTTAAATGGAAAATTAATGGTGTATTACCCATTAATCGAGACATTATTTGTTGCCGCCCACACAAAAGTTTGCTGCCCACCTTCATCAGTTTGGCGCCCAGCATGAAATCTGTACCGCCCAACTTTCCCTCTTTTTTTTCCCTTTCCCTCTTCTTTTTTTGGTTTCCATAAATACATTGCTGAGTTGGCGTTTTTTTATTGGTGGCGTACAAAAAGAATCTTGTACACTTAGTGTACCCCTAGCCTTTTACGAAAAATAATAGTATAAGGTCCTTGGCACACCAGTTGATATAATATTAATTAGTGCATTAAATACGGTAACCGTTAGTAAGCGTTGAGTGCGTATTTCAAAACAGTTACCGTTAGTGAAGTATAAATTACTTATAATACCATATACCTATTTATAGTATCGGAAAATTTATTGCAGGATCAATTTCTTGTTTGTAATATCCAGAACATATTCATAATAGAAACAACAAATTTAACTACTTAAGGTCATACAACACTTGTCAATTAATAAAACTAATGGTATGCATGTACTATAGTGTGTAAAAGCATTTTAAACATGTTGTACGGAGATCTAATAGTGACACGTTTATCAAAAAAGATTTTATTAAAATAAGAATGATTCATTAAAATAAAAAATGTTTTTAGGGGACAAAAAAAAAAGAAGATGATTTTATCATGGTCGCAAGGTTCGAACACTGAATGCATTTGAATAATACAACATTTTTATAATATCAACACCATAGGACTAGGGGGGTATCAGCACATTCATTGGATTACATATTAATATGTATTATTAGTTGAATAGGTTCTCTTTTTATGTTTATCAAAGTAGTGAAAATTTTAACTTATTAACATACTTTTTGTTTTAAATAAAATTGTTTTTTTTAAATACTAATAGAATAGTTATTAAATATAAATAATTTATATCTAAACGTATAACCTTGTTTCCTTCACTAACATAAAATAATTAAAAACTAAATAAAAGATATACGTATAACATTGTTTCATTCACTAACTTTTATGTTATTATGATCTTTTAAAATTAGATATGATTTTGTAAAGTTAAAAATAATTAAAACCAGGAAAAAAAATACAATTTATGCCGTCATAGTGTTCGAACAGTGGTTTGATGTATGCACATGTAGCTTTCAAAGTTAACCATTGGACTAAGGGGTATAAGCACGTTCATTATGTGGGAAAAAAACTATATATTACAATGTTTGTATGAGCGTCCCAACAAATCGTTTTCTTGGGGTCGATTAAAATTCTGGATCGTTTGTTTTGGGTAAATTGTAAAACATAATCTTTAACCAATTTTGCAGCCCTAAATCTGTTTTTGTTTTTCACACCTTCACCAAACTTTCATTCAAATTACTTTATTCTTCAAATATATAATCACTACAATTCATTTTAATAATTGTAAGCCACACCGCGACGGGCCGGAATCTACATGAACATTACAAAAAATTCACCGACGCCGATAGGTTGTTCACCAGCAACACATTCACCCACGGCGTTCGCATTTTAACCAACACCTTATCGCACCGCCATCAATCTGATTCACGTTGAATTTCAGAAAATCAGATTTGTATATTGTTCTGCTGTATGCATTTTATGAGGCCAAGACATCATGGACACGGATGTTTGCTGAGCTGCATAAGGAGCCTGCTGATATAGGCTTTCTCCATTCCATTGCAACACCATCTGCGTAGAAGATATTAGATATAGTGGTGAATCCAGTTATGCATGCATGTGGCTAATTATGCTTAAATTATAATTAAATTACTCAAATTAGTATTATATTATGTCTTTTTTTTCAACATTAGAGGGGAAACATTAGGAGAGAGAAAAAAAAATTAGGAGAGAGAAAAAAAATGAGGTCAAAATATCTGAATTTTTTTTGGGATTATATACTACATTAATTTGGGTAGGTGAAAGGATAGTTAAATTTGAAATTCAAAAGTTGAAATTTAAAAAACAAGTTTGAAATTCAAATGAAAATGAAGGTGGCCCACAAAAAAAGGAGTATTCCCAATCAACCAATAGGAAACTTGTGTACAAGATTCCTTTTGTATACTAAGTGTACCTTAAATTGCTCCCGATAGAACTCATTGAAGTAAAGGGCGGAATAATGTATAGTAGTAAGTTTCATAATTATCATAATTAGCTTAGTGACAAATTGTAAGGGAGTTAATTATAATCATCAGAATAATTTATGGATCTAATGTCTAATTGTCTATATGTGTGTGTCACATCATTAAAACTACAATAATATTGACGGCTAATTTTACCTTTGTTTTTCAAATATGGCCTTACCTTTACGAGACATATGAAATGACATGTTTGTTAATTATGATTAAGTCTAGAATACCACATACCAAATACTATGCAATAATAACAAAAAAAAATACTATGCAATAATCCCTATCTGTTACTCTTATTATTTCACACACACAGCCAAAAAAAAAAAAAAAAAAAAAAAAAAAAAAAAAAAAAAAAAAAAAAAAAAAAAAAACATGAGTATGGGTTGGAAATCTATATTACTCCACTAATTACCTTTAGCTCTTCAAGTACGTACACACCAATTATATAGGTGCAATTAGTTGTACCGCATGCACGTATCTAGATTTTTATTTATTTATTTTAAATAGGTAAGAAAAATAAATATTAAAAAGCCCTTCTCACAAGACAAATTCCTAATGTATCAATCAGAAGAAAGGATGGTAAAAAATTAGAGTTATTACAAACATTAATTTCCATACTACTGGATACTAAAAGATCCACATTAGCTATCCAAACCGTTGTGCAATTTGGCTTACAAAACTAAGGGTATGTTCTAATAGACTGAAATCAGCTGAACTGAACTGAATATTTTATAAGAGAAGGAAATTAGGAGCTGAATTGAACTGAGTTAAATTGAAAATAAACGTATGAGAACAGGCCCTAAGAAAGAAGAGAACGAATGTCTTGATAACATGTTCGATTTGCCAAGGGACGGTTGACTTACCTTTTATTAAGTTGTTGACTAAAAAATTATCACTTTTAATTTGAATGTTTTAAAAGCCACATTGAATAACTATTACGGAGTATGTATCTCGTGGATGGTACAACATGTTCCTTTTTTTACAACGTCTTAATTATACTTTGTATCTTATAATTAGTTATTTAGGGCCTGTTTTAATAAACTGAAATCAGCTGAACTGAACTGAATATTTTATAAGAGTAGGAAATTAGGAGCTGAACTGAACTCAACTGTACTGAATTGAACTGAACTGAGCTGAACTGAACTGAACTGAACTGAAAATAAATGTATGAGAATAGGCCCTTAGCCTTGATTATATGGAGCATCTTGTGTTCTTGTAACCATTCATACGATGAATGTACTCAAATTTTGTGGAGTAAAAAGCTCCGTAATGAAATTAATTATACGCAGGGTCTGTTCTCATAGGATTATTTTAAGTTCAGTTCAATTCAATTCAGCTCTAATAAGTTCAGTTCAGTACAGTTTAGTTCAGCTCCTAATTTCCTTCTCTTATAAAATATTCATTCAGTTCAATTCAGTTGAGTTCACCTCTAATAAGTTCAGTTCAGTTTAGTTCAGTTCTACTCTAATAAGTTCAGTTTAGTTTAGTTTAGTACAGCTCTAATAAGTTCAGTTCAGTTCAGCCAATGAGAACAGGCTCGTAGTATATATAATGACAAATTAAAAATTCTTTTTTATTGGAGTAAATTAAATTTGATGAGGTCATATTAATGATACTCCGTATCACATAATTCCCAATGTCTGCATGGCTAATGATGAGAGATCCATAGTAGTAGTAGTGCAATTGATAGCCTATAATACACATACACGTGAATTTAGGCTTC